TGATCACATAATAGTTTCGCCTACTATATAGAAGGGAAGTCCATGATTTCAGATGCTGGAAGGTGGAACAGGATTGGACAAATGTAAATGTAGTTTTCTGTTGGACTAACCCAGGACCGTCCAATCCTGCTCGACACTCTTAAAAATAAAGGTTATTTATTGGCATCAATGCTTCCATGAAGAACCTATAACATCTATTGAACCTTTGCACAAAAGATTCTCTATAGTGCAAAATGCTTCTTTAGACACACCTAGGCTCGTTGGCCCTAACGGATCTCTAGTCGGAGCAAAGATGGTCCAAAAACGGACCTTCGGGCTATTGTCGAGGAGGGGGCAAAATGGTGCCAAGCGGGACCCACCTACCCCACCCCTCTGGAAGTCTGGAGCTCCATGACCTCATCTAATGGTTCTTTTAAGAACTGTTCACTGAAATATTCAAATACTTGCCTAATGCCTATAACCTTCTAGTAATCCTGAAGACCTTGAGTTGCTTGTTCAGGTCTGTTTGAATAGGGTTGGAGCAAAACTCTGCAGGACCTCGAGGGCCAGCGTTGAGAACCCCTGTTCTATGGCATCGCTATGAATACTTGAATCCATTATTTTCAGTAGTGCAGAGTTTAGCTTCAACCCCAATTAAACACACCTTAGATTACCGGAAACTTCCAGGCAGGTGTGTTGGGGCATGTTGGAGATAAACTCAGCAGGACGTTGGCACTCCAGGAGCAGGACTGGAGACCATTGGATAAAACCCTTCCAGCCATACCTTCCATTCGTCGCTGTCCTCCACACGGTATCGTATCTGATACTTGGCCTGAAACAGGTAGTCTTTCAGGGCAGGAGGACTGCCCCAACATACACTTAACTGATCCTCCAGCTCTCCAACACGGCTCACAAAGACATCAGGAGGCGGATCTGTAGTTACTGAACAAAGATGTTTGCATTATCTAACACTGTGAAAAGTTTGCTTCAGAACGGTTGATTAAACCCAACAAAAGATGGGTCATCAAACTTTCATTAAACTATTACAAGCACCAAGTTTTTAACTCTTGGAAGGGAAAGATCTCTTCAAAGAGTTGAAAAATATGTTGCTGCTTGTAATTGAATCTCCCAATAAACCCTGATGGCTGCTCATTAGCTAGATTATATTTTGCCGCTGCAAATGTAATCTACCATTTCCATTGATGTTTGCGATTGGACGTGCTCCACTGATACGTTTTTTAATCAAGCTCGCCTTTAGGCCAAAGCCAATCATGGAGAATTCCAGAGCTTATTGTTTCAGAAGATGAGGAACTGAGGGCTTGAAGTTGGTGTAGTAATGCTATATCTTTGCTTTTCTCTGCAAAAATTGCTGATTGATGGAATTAATTCGATTAATTCATTGGCATGTCAAAAATAATACATTTTAACCAATTGCCAACAGACTTTGAGTTGCCCATTGACCTTCAAACTTCTATTTTCACAAGATGCCTTTTGGAAATGTTTCAGCTGTTGGAAAGTGCTTTTACAGTCTGTAATAATCTATTCTCTCAGACGAGTGTGCGCACCATATGCGAGACGTTCATATGGTTTTGTGCATCTATGTGTTAGTTGGGAAACGAAGTCCCAAGTGACCTTGATCCCAACATCTATTTTCCCAACATATTTTAGTCCTACTTACCTACATCTAAAATGTCTAAGGTGACCACATCAGAGGTGGCAGAGCCAAGCTGATTGGACGCATCCACCCAGACTTCATATGGTGTAAAAATGGCAAGGCCGCGTGGAACGTAGCACATATACGGCTGTCCCGTGTAGTCCTCGCAGTCTTTCTCTTTACCGTACCATCTAGATGGATGTTAAAATGGAAAAGTTGCATGCTGAAAGGGAAAAATGTGGAAGTTTTTTGGTGTCAGAATCTCACTTTAGTTTGTACTTGAGGACGTATTTGGTATTGATGAATGTTTCTCCTTGACTCCCTGGACTCCATCTGCAGCTGAGATCTTTGGTGTTTCGTGACCAGCATGTCAGGTTGACGGGTTTCTCGGGGGGTGCTGTACATCAAATTAAAACGGAAAGAAGAGGACGCATGAATATTCAAAATCGCATACCAAAAAACACCAAAACTTGTTCACACACTCACAGCCAACATAAATACACGATCCGGCCAACACTTCTCCGTTGCTTCGGTGGCAAACAAGGTTGTCTCCTGACTGCTGCAAGGAGCCATTGAGTTGATGAAGTGTGACACTTGATTCGGTTGGGCTCAGGACTCTGTAAGTGTTTCTGGCCAAGCGTCTCCCATTCAGCGTCCAATACAAGGACCTAGCTGTTATTCCCAGCTCGGCACTAACAGTGCACACTGCAGTCAAGCTCGAGCCGATGCAAAGCACTGGATCCTGGGGGGATATGACAGCCAAGTCTGGGGGTCAGAAGAAGAGGAGACTTCATGATTCCAGCAATTTTTACAACTGGATTTATGACCGCCAGTTGGAAAGGTTGCACGAGGTCATTTTTCAGCATCTTAAGTGGTTTTCCATCTTTTAAATATTCGTCTTGTGTGTCCACAGAGCTCATATTTATTCATGTTAAAGATATATGGAACAATGGCTGGGTTTGAAAAGCTACTACGTCTGGCCTTCATGGAGAACAAGTGTTGATGTGGATAATTTCTGCTCCTGGTGGGAGGCGGACAAGCTCTTTAACGTGCCATTGGACTCTAAGGAACATTGAAGAGTTAGGAAACAAGACTGAATTGTTAATCTAAAACTATAGTACTTATTGGACACTTTTTGTCTTCTTGAGCATTGTTTGGAAATACTGGCCAATGAAACTGGTGATTGAACAACTATATTCACATTTATATTCAATTTAGTACACAGATTTAATGCTTTTGTTTGGTTTTTGTTGCATATCATCATTCTATCTGAAGGATGTGTAAATTACTGAATTTGTTTTAAAAAACAAATGAGGCAACTGTTTTATAAAAGCAATTTTGCACTCAAGGACGAGTTGTTTTGAACTGTAAAAATGTATTTTCATGATTTACCAGTGACCCGTAACTTTTTATATTTTGTCAAATTAATGTAGATCGAAAAACATAATTTTGAGATTCTATTTATTTAACCAATCTCCTTCATTGTATTACCTTTTTTCAGTTCAATTGACTAACAATTTTAAGGCAAGCAGGTATACTTTTTTAAAGTTAAACCAACAATATTTATTACAGTGTGTAAATAACACGATATATGTTTCTGACGTATTTTATTGTTTATTAGTGAATACTGCGTTAATCTAACAGAGATCTATTTTTGTTATTATCTTATAGTCTCTTTGCACGACTTTACCTTGGTAACTAACCGTTTCTCCCAAATGCAAGTTAAACGATTATAGGGTCGCCTTCAAACAGTATGAAAAACATTTTTGTATTTATTTGATGAAAGTGGAAATTGCCATTGTTAAAAGTAACAATTCTTCCGTATTTTAGTCAAAACTAAGGAGAATATGACCTCTAATTTGACTTTTCTAAAGTAGCCTAGAGATGAAAATGAAAACATCATAAACGCTTCCAAAAATAACATTTAAATGAAGATCAAGTTTGAAGACTTCTCAAGTGGCTTTAATTCAAAATAAACTTTAAATGCATCTGAAATCGTACTTACGTGCTGTGAGAGCATATGGAAGAAGCGCAACAAAAAACAACATAATGACTGAAATTGTCATTTGTCTGTCGCGCGCGCTCTCAACTCGATTCTTGTCATGCTGATGGGAGCGCGCGTACCAATAATCCATTCTCCTTCACATAAACTGCAGAAAAATAAAAACCTTAATCACCAGAAAGCTTCGAGAAAATCATTGCTGGTTCTGAAAAGCACCATTATGCGGAGAGGACGTTCAGATTCACATTCACTCTCAATTTTAGAGAAGAATCAATATAGTGAACGCCTCAAAAGCTGAAAAAGTTGATTCTTCTGAAGCTCCTCCCATGTATTACCACACAAACCCAAGTCATTATTAGTAAGGCATCTGCAGCCAGTGTTTTCTTTACTCGTTTGAATGCTAAGTGGACACAACAGAAAAGAATGAAACAAACTCTTTCCAAAAGTGTAGGCTATTCCTCACATATATTCATTATTTGCAAAAACACAAGGCCGTCATTTTTTTTTTATCTGCAATGCATAGTTTATTATGGGCTGTTAGTAATAATAGTTAGGAAATTACCGAATATTTTCTTAGAACATGTATTTTGTTTATTGGATAGATTATTGAAAAGTTACACATTTGTTTATTCCTGGTCACATTTAACTGATGGGAGACTGTAAAAAAATTATATGATCAATAAGTTATTACTAATAAGTCAAGGAATTTTCAACTTTTTGATATGAAGAGTTCAGATGCAAAAGCCTCTAAATGCCATTTGAAATTTTCTTCTTTAATGATGATTTGTATCAAACTTGTATATTTAAGTTCAGTAATTTCACTTAAATGGCAATGATAATTACCTATTAATTGTTATTTAAGTGAAATTACTGAACTTAAATATACAAGTTTGATAAAAATCATCATTAAAGAAGAAAATTTCAAATGGCATTTAGAGGCTTTTGCATCTGAACTCTTCATATCTTTTTTTTATCAGACAATAATTAAAATGACATATTTTTAAATTAAAAATGAAAATATAATATTTTGTTATATAATATAATAACATATGTGTGAGTGTGTGTGTGTGTGTGTGTGTGTGCGTGTGTGTTATTATTAAATTATCTAAAATACAATTTTAAGAAGTTAAATCCCCATATTTTTCCCTATGTTTTTATTATTATTTCAGTTTCTTTGCCCATGGCTATTTATTATTTAATGGTTTAGAAATGAAACTTTTGTGTGCTTGTTTTTATTTACAATAATAATAAAACTATAAATATTTTCCGCTGTAGGCTATGCTATATTCTTTCTAGCTCCCGATTCACTGCAATGCAATGCATTGGACGGAGACGCGCAGCGCGTGCGTGATGATGTGAGGAGTGACGACACGGCGCATCAAAGGCACGAGATCGCCGAGGCTGATAGAGAGCCCGAACCGAAGCAGCAGCAACGGCAGGGACAGGGACAGGTCGAGACGCTCCGAACCGACCGCAGACGCGCCAGTGCACCGAATCCTGCGAATAAAAGATGCTCCAGTTCGGCGGCAGGGTGCGCGGCGTTCCCGCGCTCGTCTCTCTGATTCTGGTGGCGTTGGCGGCGGCATCATCTGATCTGTTTGACAATCAACTGGGCGATATCAATTACTGCAAAAAGCAATGCCAGATGTCCATCAAAAACAAAAGCCCTGCCAAAGTAAGTGTCATGTGCCATGTACCAGATGCTTCAGCAGTATGTTGAAAAAAAAAAATACATTTAATATTATTTTGCATTTAACAGTTACTAGTGGTTCATAAGAGCCGCAGCCATTTGCAAATGTGAATGAATAAAATCGTTTTGCAATTGAAAATTACTATAGGCAACGTGCGAGATTAGGCTAACCCAAACCTTCATTTTGACACAAAACTGTTCTGCGCAAAGACACTGCGCAAAAATGGAGCATAATTTGGCAGCACCTCGAGCCAATTCTTAATCGATTCATGGATTTCTGTGTCCTAGTTTTTGGCACCGCATGGAAACGTTACTTTGTATCCACCAAGAACAGGCCGAGAATGATGCTTTATGACGCATGGATTTTAACTGTCAATATGTATAGACACAGGCGCTGTCTGGCCGGAACGGATGCATTTAAACGGCAGGCATTCTAAATGCGCCAAACGGAACGCCGCAATAGAATTCTCGCCGAAGCACGCGAGCACATCGCCATTCATCCCATTGTTTGATGATGGCCCGTTAAGGTTTATGTAAAGACGTGGTTTGAATTAGTTCGATATCCTTGTGCGTCGTCATTCAATTAGGCCTACATTCGTTTGGATTTAAATGATTCGAAACCCTTATTTTCCATGCAGCCTGCATCACTCTGCACTACTATAGGTTCGTTTGCAGGAATGTGAAGAATTGTGAACGATTCTAATTCTAATCAACTCAAGTTTCCTTTACTGCCTTTAAAACAACGTGATAATTTTAGATATCAACAGAACAAATATTACAAATAATATTTGAAACAATGAAATAAACCTTTAACTGTAACTTTCATTCATTAATTTTCATTAAAATTCCACTGAAGACACTGAAGGTCATAATTTCAAGCAGGATATAAAAGTAATTACTTGCAATTCAATAAATGTTCCGACTGATTCAGAAGTCTTTTTGATTTACTAAAAATAAATGCTTTGAGGATAATTAGTTAAAAAATGGGTACATTTTTAAAAACAGGGTTTCACTTACTGATGACAAGTTTGTAAAAACCATAGATATCCATAATAAAAGCTAGATGTCTCGTCTCGCGCTGCTGGCCAATGGAGGTCGACGTCCACATCTGGCGGCCATCTTGTCACAGGCAGCTCGCTCACTCGTATATAATAACTTGCTAATTTTTCTACCGATTTTCAAACGGTTTGGTTTGTTATATAAATGTCAGAGATGTAGTTATGACATTGCACAGTGTATCAATAAATAATCATCAGGAGGTATAGCCACGTTAATAACGTTTGTAAGAAACCAAAGCGTTTGTAAATCCGTCAAGATTTCAGCATATTTGTGCTCGTACTGATCACTAATCTCGCATCAGGAACCACAGAGCCCGTCAGAAAGCTTGTCTGTGACAAGATGGCCGTCGGTGATGACGATAGAGACTCTAGCCTTTATTATGGATATCTATGGTCAAAACAATCACCTGACACAAAAATGACTAAAAATACTGTATTATGCCTCCAGGCCAGTAGTTGGCGATGTCACTTTGTAAAGAAAAACTTCGCAGCTATAGATTGAACACGTAATGCACATCACGTCACTGTTTTCACAAATTCGTGTTTTTGTAGTTTACACAGAGACGACAACAGTATCGTTTTCAAAATCTTGCACTTTTAATCCCATTTTTAAAATTTTGCATTTTAAGGCCACCAAAACGCTGTTGCCATGTAAATGAACTGCCAAATCATTGGATGAATTAACAGTGAATTAATCGCTCTCTTTCAGGAATATCCCGCTGTTTTTTTTAACGAATCACTTTGAATGATTCGAAGACTCGCTCATTCCAGAAATCAACGTGTAAAAAGATTCACAGTGAACCAATCTCATTTACAGAACGGATTCAGATATTTGAGTCACAAAGATTAATTAAAAGCCATACCTTGCATTCACCTCAGCAGTTAATATATATATATATATATATTGTTTAGCTCCCTGTCAATTCTGGAGTAACCTTTGATATTGTGGCTCACCGAAGGTCACTGCAGGGTCAGGTGACTCCTGCAACTCTAAAAGTCATGAGTCAACCTTGTGTGGGTTTGAATCATCTTCCCTTTCCTGCTATCGCCACCCACAATCAATCCTCATTTCTGATGTACTATTCAGAAAATCGTTGGCATGTCACATCTTGCATAATGATTTTGAGGATCTCAAGATTTTGCATAAAAGGTCCTTTCACAGCAATGTCCCTGTGGATAAAAACATCCGAACATCAATTAAAGCGATTCTTATAATTACATATATTACCGTACAAAAGGATTCGTTCTAAATGAAGCTTTTACCTTGTTCCTGCAGGACTCCATCATGAATGCCTGTCACCGTGGCTGTCGGCTGTACTCCATCTGCCAGTTTGTGAATGGAAATGCAGGCATTAATACCAGCAAGGAAGAGTGCCAGGGAGGTACGACCTATTTTGACCAGTTTTGAGAAGTAGATGAATGTAGTAAGGATACTTAACTACAGCATTGGAACGTTCTGATCAGCTGTGAATTGGTTTGTTTTGACATAAGAGTGACTCCCTGCACTATGATTTGGACTCGGTTATGTACATTTGATGTTGTATTTATATAAATTTACCTGTGCAAGTTTGATGTTGTCACTCTAATTGAGATTCATTCATTCAGTCGTTCATTTTGTGCTAGCAAAAGTAGGACTACGCTTAAAGGAGTAGTTCACTTTTAAAAAAAACTTTTGCTGATAATTTACTCACCCTCATGTCATCCAAGATGTCCACGTCTTTCTTTCTTCAGTCGAAAAGAAATTAAGGTTTTTGATGAAAACATATAATGGACTTCAATGGGGACCAAACTGTTTCAGTGCAAACTGCAAACTGTTGAAAGGGCTTTAAACGATTCCAGACGATAAATAAGTGTCTTATCAAGCGAAGCGATCGCTCATTTAAAAAAATAACAACAGTTTAAGTTTTATAAGCTCAAATGGTCGCCTTGCTCTGTTCTGTGATGCACGCGTTTTTTTGAACTGGAGTGCAATACGTTTTGGATTGAAAAATGAGAATCGTGTAAGGGAATCGTGATCTCAATTCCCATGGAGAAAAATCGTGATTCACATTTTAGCAAGAATCGTGCATCCCTAAGGCCGTGTGTCCACCAAAGCGTTTTTCCACACGCCTGACGAATGTTTTCAATTGTTTTCAATGGGAGCGGCACATTTTTTTAAACGCCATGAGTGTAACGAGTCGCTTAGCGTTTTTTTTTTTTTTTTTTTTCAGGCTGAAGCGCCGAGCACCCAGCGTTTTTGCTGGTCGCCAAGAGTTATAAAATGTTCAACTTTGGGTAAAACGCAGCGCTCATCACTGTCGTTTTTTACACAGCCGTCCAATCACAGTGGAGAAGGGGCGGGACTAAACCACACTGACCAACATTCTTTCTGTACAACGACATCAACCGACAGAGCTAACCAAACAAAATGGATGAAAAATAAATTTTTAGTATGAAACAAATTATCTGTGAAATCAGTTACAAATAAACTGTGCTGCGGATATTCTGTATCATACTGTAGCAACAAAACGTATCAACAGAAAAAACACTGCGCTAAGTTAACAAAACGCTCTCAAGCGCCCAAAGCACGACGTCTTCAGCAGAGCGTGTGGTGTTTTCAGCTGGATAAAAACGCCTTGGTGGACACACAGCCTAATAGTAACTGAGATTTAAAAAATGTAAAGCCCAAAAAAGCACTTCCATCCATCATAAAAGTAATTCATACAACTCCTGGGTGTTAATAAAGGCCTTCTGAAGCCAAGTGATGCGTTGTTGTAAGAAAAATATCCATAATTACAACTGTAATCAATAGTTTTCGGTAACGTCCGTTCACGAGAGCGTTGAGTTCTGGTGGTTGATGTAGGAGTAGCGAAAGCTTTGACGCCTCTCGCGGTTCAAACAAGTAAGGCGGAGCAACAAACTCAAGCTCCTCTGACATTTCTCTTCAAAAAATGTTTGCTTTAGACTTTTTTGCACTCTCCTCTGTGCTTCAGTGTTTTTTTGTTTTTTTTTACGGCCGTTACCAGAATCATTTCTGAGCGAAATCTTTTCAACTTGTCGTAATTACAATTCCAGTCGTATGTACAAACTTCCCTAGAGGACTTGAATGCTCCTTAAAGGCGAGATTACATTATCGAAAGTTCGCAGAGAAAAGGTCCTTTGTCTATTATCAGTAGAGCTCAACCGATAAAGGATTTTGAAGGCCGATACCGATACACTTATTTTTGGGTTTTAAAATCCGATATTCCGATATATCGGCCGATATTTTTTTTTTATTTTTTTTTTTTTTAAATATTGTTGGATTTCACACACGTGTAAAAGAAAAGCTAACTTTTCTGCACAAGATACGTTTGATACTTTTTCTCTATGTCTAAATGTTCACTCCTCACAAGTATAACTTACATTTTACAATGCAGGGACTGTAACTAGAGATATGCTAGTTATAAATATGGTAATCATTAATTTATTTAGGCAGAAAAAGTTCATTGTGGTTTCCAAGCTCATTAATGTTAACGTTAGCGGTCTTCCACTGATGATAGTGGCATTAGCCTGCTTTGTGGTTAGCTAGTCTATGATGAGCCATAATTTAGCAATGGATAACATCATACTGCAAATTGTAAAACATACATTTTCAATATAACAGGCCAAAGTGAGATGATCAAAGCGTGTTTCGTCCATTTTTTTATTTTATTTTTTAAATATTAATTTATCGGCCATTATAACTGCCGATTCCGATATTATGGAAAATGCTTAATTTCAGCCGATAATATCGGTCTGGCTCTAATTATCAGTAGTAAAGCTGAACTTACACAGTGACAGAAGTCACTTTCAAACCAAGCTTTCAATTGGTCAATGTGGCAAATTCAAATGACCAACTTGATCCAATCGTGAAATCTGCTCTAAAAAACTCAAAGAAAACGCCTGATAGTGGGGATTCATCTTGAAACAGCAAAAATGTGCCAAACAATGGTAAATTTGACCACACCTTAAGTCTACTTTTCTGACTGAAATCTGTCATTATTGAGTTTCCAGTACTTATAAGTTCAAACCTCACAGGAGGAATTAAACTCAGCTTAAGAACCAGTAAGATAGATCAGACCGCTATATGCTAATACTAAATTGAAAGCAATAAAAGCTATTGTTTTAAATGCGTTCATGAACATTTGATACAGCTAATGTTTGGGAATGGAGCGCAACATAGCCCAAGGACATATACTATAGAGTTTGCAGACAGGCTGATAGCTCTCATTTTTATCTGGAGATGGTATTGTGTGCTAGTGGCAAACAGAGCTGTCTGTGGGAAGCTGCTAGGCATGAGGGAAGCTGTTTTATTGAAAATCAATCGTGCGCTTTCTGGTGCGGGCGGCTGCTGCTCAGATGTTTGTTGATATTGATGACTGCTTGACCGTGGGGAGGGTTGAATGGAGATGGAGCCGCCTGACAGGTATCGTTTGTGTGTGTGTGTGTGTGCGCGCAGCATGCCAGGAGGCCTACAGTAAACTCCTGGAGCAGGAGGCGTGCAGCACAGGGTGTGCCAGCCAACCCGCTGAGCCGGAGATCAAGCGGAGAAAGGTAAGACTCTCGGTTGTTTCCTTTTGGGATCGCGCTGATGTTTTGACAGCTCTATAAAATTGCTCTTGGCTTGATCTGCAGCTGAAGGCTCTGACCAACCGGCCCAAGCCCATCTCTGTGATGGACGCCGTGTCCAGCTGGTGCAATGACATCGTCAGTTCCGCCCAGAGCTTCATTTCTTCCACCTGGACCTTCTACCTGCAGGCTGACGACGGGAAGGTCGTTGTGTTCCAGGTTAGTCTATCCGTGTCTCTTCCGTGAAGACTTGATGTTGTGTTTCTCAACTGGTTTTGCTAAAAAGCCAAGATTGTGCTTTTGACCATATTGTTTATTTAACGCAAAATTCAGCTCCTGAAAATAGAATATTTACATTTATTAGTATTATTTACATAGCTTAAATGTTGTTGTTTTTTTTATCTAAATTATGTACTTAGAAATGACTTTTAGCACTTAAAATTGTTTAAGTTAGTTGCCAATGCACCATTTCGAATTTTCATTCGAGTTTGTTTTTTGGTTTAAGTTTTTCATCCAATTTGATTTGATTTCAGTTAACAATTTAATTAACAATAACAACAAATAAATATAAAAAGAATGTAATTTTGGTACTGCTTAAAATAACCTATACTTTTATGATAAATTGTAATAATTACATTTGCTACTTTGAGAAATGAAATGCCACTCACAAAGTTGCAAAAAGCAGTTTTCGTTTATATTAATTAAACAATTAATTTTTGTTTTGGTGAAAGCAGGCTTTTATTCAAAAATTGTATTAATATGATTAATAAGAAATTTAATAATAATGAATATGTATTAAAACTTAAAATCCTACAATGTAATCCTACAATGTATTACTATGTACTGTGTATATATATATACTAAGTATTATTAATACTACTAATTAAACTATTTAATAATATTTAAAATTAGTCATTAATTAGTCAATTTTTAATAATTAACCTGACATAGACCCAATTCTTTCAAATGCTTACTAAATTTCAAGGGTTGAATGCTCTTGGTGTTCACAAAACTAATACATTTAGAATAAACAAGCCACTCAACGTCTGATATCTGCAGCAAAATATCTGGGAAGCATTTTCTACTCCATTTCAAATGTTTTGAGTTTTATTATTTGCATTTAGCATTGTTTTTTCCCTATCAGATCAAACCTGTGACCCATTTTGGGTTGCAGCCCTCCAGTTGAGAATCACTGGTGTAGGATATTCCACTAGTGACTATCAAATGCTCTTGGTTTCAAGATCTGGTATGTTTTACAAAGGTTGCGGTCACATTAGTGCAGTATTGGGATCATATGAGCGCAGGGGACTGGTTCTTCAAAGATGTTTAATCAGAAACCTTATTCTCCCTGGAGGTCATCCAACTCTATCCACAGCCTAGCATGTTTCTGTGAGTTCCCTGCTGTTTCTAAACCAACTACAATAATTAGACAACCAAGAGTTCTTCAAAAAAAAAAAATCGCTAAGCTTCACTTAAAACATCAAGCTTTTTCAGTTTAGTCGCAGCCTTGATGATTGTGCATTTAACGGCCGTGACAGGAGAAGAGGCGAGAGCAAACCTCCACAGCCGTCCTGCGGCAGGCCTGGCCTGTATTTAGCGGTCAGCTGGAAGATGGCCAGCCCAAGTGAAGGACTGACACTGGCCAGAGATTTCACAGGGGGTGAAAACCCAAGGTTTAAGCGGTAGCCTCTCGCTACCAATCCATTATATCAAGCATATGGAATTAGACCTTTGTAGAAATAAGGGAGATTCAATTTCTGGAGGAAGTGGAGCACTAATGATGGGCTTTTTGCCTCGGGCGTCTAAACAGAGAAATGAAAACTGATTGTTTTTCAACAGACCTGCTGTGGTGTGCATTTGGCACGGATGATGCCGTTTTCACAGTTACGTGAACCACCGCACTACTGGAATATAAATAGCACGGCATGAAAACAGAACTTTGGGTGTGCTGGATTTTGAAAGTTGAGATTTATGTTATAATCTGTTTGATTTTTGTGAGGAACTAATAAAACGGATCTTCGAAGAGAGGTCTGGAGGGAATTCTTGCTCTTCAGAAAGCGCTTCCCCAAGTGCTTCCTACAGCACTACACAAATTTCCCTGAAGTTTGAAAAAATCCAATCACTAGTAAGAAGAATACTGTATGAAACTGCTTATTCGGCTCTTTGATTTGATGTCTGAGGTTCTCCGGTGGAAGTTCTTCCAGCGCTCCGTGACTTCTCTAGAACTTTTCGGAATATCTGTAATGGAAGTATAGCATTCATTTGAACATTTGTGGGAATACATCAACAGCCAAATAAAACCATAACCAGTATTTTAAAGTAGTAGTTCACTTAAAAAAAAAAAAACTTTTGCTGATAATTTACTCACCCCCATGTCATTAGAGATGTCCATGTCATTCTTTCTTCAGGCGAAAATAATTTTTTTTTGATGAAAACATTCCAGGATTTTTCTCCACATAATGGACTTCAATGGGAACCAAACGGTTCAAGGTCCAAAAGACAGTTTCAGTGCAAACTGTTCAAAGGGCTTTAAACGATTCCAGACGATGAATAAGGGTCTTATCAAGCGAAACGATCGCTAATTTAAAAAAACAATTACAAAGTTTAAGTTTTATAAGCTCAAATGCTCGCCTTGTTCTGTTCTGTGATGCGCGTTCGTGACTCTCCTGTTCGAACTCGTTCATCAAAATGAACAAATCTTTTTTCTGAGTCAATTCGTTCATTTCGTTCGTTGAATGAATGATGAACGAGTTCGAACAGGAGAGTCACGAACAAGAACAGAACAGAACAAGGCGAGCATTTGAGCTTATAAAACTTAAACTTTGTTTGTTTTTTTAAATTAGCGATCGTTTTGCTTGATAAGACCCTTATTCATCGTCTGGAATCGTTTAAAGCCCTTTGAAACAGTTTGCAGTTTGCACTGAAACTGTCTTTTGGAGCTTGAACCGTTTGGTTCCCATTGAAGTCCATTAAATGGAGAAAAATCCTGGAATGTTTTCATTAAAATCCTTAATTTCTTTTCGACTGAAGAAAGAAAGACGTGGACATCTTGGATGACATGGGGGTGAGTATAAGCAAAAGTTTTATGCCAAATATGCCAAAAAACAGGCACATTTTTTGGTAATATTCTGTACAAATTAAGCTCAATCAACAGAATTTCTCTCTTCCTTTTTTCTTTTTCTTTAAAAAAGCAACAATTGAGGTTATATTGAGGCACTTACAATGGAAGTGAATGGGGTTAACAGAAATGTGAAGCTTAATTTTTTTTAAAGCACTTGATTAAAAGTGCTGCTCAAAAAATATACAGGTTTTAACAGAAGAATTTGTCGTTTTAGGGGTTATAACTTTATACAGAAGGTTAGGTTTTGTGGCTAGTATTGAAACACATTTTAACATTTACAGATTGTCCCACTAACCTTATCTTGTTGTAACCCAGATATTAGCATTTCCATTTAATCCCCCATTCCTCCGATCTACACTATGATCTGCAGCCTAGTTTCACATCAGCATCAGGCCGGCATTTGACATTGGTTATACTGCAGTCTGGGCTTTATGTTTGTCCGTTCTGTCCAGGGTTTTGATGAGGTAATCAACAGGAATCTGACTATTTCCCATGAGCTGAAGGGTAAACACGACTCGTTCGCTGAATAGCCGCTGATTGGTGCAATTAATTTTTGTTTGGACGGAGGTCGGCCATCTTGTTTAAATTTGGTGCTAGTTCAATGTGGACGGCCGCTACATGCGAAAAGACAAGTTTGGAGAAAGCAAGCAAATTCCTAATAAGGGAAATGGGATTGTTTACTATGAAGTCAACAATCTCTGCCTCGTCTTCTTGGCAGTCTCGTAAGCTGCATTGATCACCTTTGGCGAGTTCTGCGGTAATGCGTGACAGATGCACATCAGACCGCTTTCACTAATGGCAAGATTCCATTGGTCTGTGGCCAGTCAACATTAACTTCCTCAGATGTTCATTTTTCCCCCTTTGATTCTCATCCCTTGCGGACATCTGGATTCAATAGTTTTGACAGCATCCCTTTCAATTAACGCAACTGCGAGACTCGAGCTTTTTGCAGAGCTAAATTGGCCATACTATGTTGCGTTTCATGACTTCATGTCTATGTAAAGAATTAGTTCTGTACTCGCCGTGTTAAAAATCCAGTGTATAAAACAATTCTTTTGGAGCCCGTAATCTTTTCAGTGAATTGGTTGATCCTGTTCACAAAACCAATCTTGGGAGCGTTTTCCAAAATGGGAATAACGCCGTTATCTTCTCAGTGACTAATCAAACGAATTCCCCCGTTACAACGCCGTTACCATTAATGAAAATAAAATGTGGCGTTACCACAGCCTAATTGAGCTCACTGAAGTGGTTTCCATCCGAATAGGCTCTCTCTCCGCCATGGGACCTGCAAAGTTTTTTTTTCTCTGGTGTGTGTGTGTTTATGAGGCGCCGCGTGCGCTCGACAATGCGCGAGATGGAGTGTGTCCGAGCATTATATAGTTTGTTTATAAATAAATTACAAATTTCACCATTAGAATAATCTCTATACTGTAGCATATTGGTATCTTCTGTACAATGTTTTAATTAATTTACATGGTTATACAAATAAAATCTAACAAAATAACGTTCTGGGAATTCGGGTTCTGGGAGCACTTCTTGTTAAACTGTTTATCATTTTAATTTTCACTACAAAGATTGTATGTGTATATATTTTTTATTACTATTTATTCATTTTTGGTACATTTAAGCATAATTTATTTTTAGACTTAGGCTATTTGTTGGCCAGTTGTGGTCTGTGCAATATTAGCTAAATACTGAAATTTCTAAACCTAAAATTAAGTTTTATTGTTTTACTGTAGTAATGATAATGTTTAAAATATATTGAATTTTATAGGTGTCTCTCACATTGTCCCACATTACAATAGATTAGTGTAGAATGTTTTGTAATAGTAATTTATTCTAAAGTGTCCATTTCATTTATTTAATATATTTAATATTGGGGTGCATCAAAGTTATTTGACATTGTCCTATTTTCACACTTTTTTAAAAAAAGTAACACAATAGTTACTTTCCCTGGTAATTAGTTACCTTTTTAATGATTTAATTCAGTTACTTACTCAGTTACTATTTGTGAGAAGTAACTATAACTAATTACTTTAAGTAACATGCCCAACATTGATGATAGACTTGCTCTGCACATTAAACTTAACTGTATTTTCCTTTTTTGAAGTGATTTACAATCATATTTCAAGTAATTCAAAACCATTGTGGCGTCTGAAGTGTCTCAGCTAAAGGAAATAATCCATTATTTATCGGCTATAATACTGTACATCGGCCAAATTTTCTTATCGTGTCCGATAACAATAAAATGAACATATATCGGCCGATACCGATATGGTGGCAGATATATTGTGCTTCCATTACCATTAGATGAGGTGGTTCATGCTCTTAAGCAAAATATGCTACGTGGTTTAAACATATGTGTGACAAAGTTACTACAAAGCTTATTTAATTTCTCCAACAAATGCAAAGTCTCCAAAGATTGAGTGCTCAAGTCATATGGTCATATGGGGATTTTTTTTTATGATACTTTTACCCTTTTGAAGCCTGAATGCTTCATTCTCTATAATTCCTGTAATTCACTGTAATTGCATAAAAAAGAATACAGAAAACAGACTTCAGATTTTCTTCCCCACAAAAGAAAGTCATATGGCTTTAGAACAGCATGAGGGTGAGTAAATGATCACAAGATTTCCATTTTGTCTGAACTATTCCTTTAATCTTTAGGAATTAAGATTGGACACACCATTTATACATACAGTATGTAAAAAGTACAATTTCAATGCACCCCTTCTGTCTCCACGTTCACATCTACCGCGACTCTGACATGAAAAATCATATGCCTGTGGTCATTTTGGAGGTTCATATGCGCCTCCCTGGAGAGGTTATCTCAGAGGTCTGAGCCCGTTTTAGAAGAATTCAGTGGAAGAGGGCAAAAATCTCTCTTTAATAAGATCTTAAGGGGCTACTAAAGAAACATGGTCTTAAAAAAACATGTGCTAATTTACACATACAGGGCGAGATGGAGGGGCAGAAAGGAACACGTCCAGTCGTAGACCGAGACCGATTTCAAATCCACATCCTTTGGATTATGTTTGAAATTGGCCTCTTAAAGGCTCTAAGTCAAGTTGTCCCTTCGCTCTCGTCAGAGTTGCCGTCTAGTGCTCGGTTTGACCAGCAGGCAGACGTGTAATTGACGGTGGAAAGAGAGATTTCGTTGACGTGGTGCTCCAGCGTGGTTTCTCGAACTGGAAGCAGCTGACAATAGCTTTTAAAGAATCTTGACGGCGTCAAACAAACCCGAAATGTCGACTTGACCTTCTTACACCAAGTTCTTACCAGGTACAAATTTGTCTGTGAAAGTACAAATTATGTGCAAATGACTATAATGCCTCTAAAGATCACTGAATAGGGTTGAGCAGGATTTGACCAATCAGGTCAAATGTATATATATATATATAATTTAACTGGTTGCAGTTACCATATAAACATGAACCACCCAGCTTCATTAAATGTACTTTTCGCAATTTAATGCAATTTATGTAATCAAAATCAACTTGGTGTCAGTTCTTTCTTTTTTCAAAGTTTGCCTTTTGGGAATCTATTTTTGCCAATTCTAGCAGTCCACATGATACAGGAGCTGCACTAGCAGTTTTTGATACGTGCTCTCTACATCATCATATTTAACCATGCTATTCATCATCTGTATGTTTCACAGCTTTTGTATACAGTATCACTCTGCAAAAAGCATTTCTGCTTTGCCAGCCTGTGCCTGATTGTGTTGAAAACCTCACCACAACAAAACGGTCACAAACCCAACAGTTTCATTCAGAAGCCTTTCTGCGGAGTAAATCCCTTAATACCGTTTCCTGCCCTTGACAGTGTGTTTGTTGATTCTCCCAGAGCCAGCCAGAGATCGAGTACTCCTTGCCTGAGTTACAAGCCCCGCGCTCCAACGTGGTTGACAAACCCTGGCCCCAAGTCAACTCCCACACACAGCGGCCACATACTGGTAAGAGTGACCGCTTTCACCCCAGATGGCTGCTGACAGCTTTCCTTTTTCCTCTGAAAGCTCATTCAAGGACCTTTGACTTTCATTTGCGACACATCCTGTGCAGCGCTGGCTCTAGTTTGTCCGGAGCTCGAGGGTCATAAAATCAATGTCCGCATGCTGAAAGTGCTGCCTCTGCATCCTTCCAGGTGGGAGGTCACATGGGGAGAGGAATGCGGCAAAACCTGGGGTGAAAGGAAAGCATGTCAGCCAACATGTCGAGGATCCAGCTGCCGAGCACGACTTCCTGGGCTGCATGTCAAGGTGGGTGTCAGAGAGGCTTTTATCAATCCAGCAGTTGCATTTTGGTAATGTTTTGGTTATGTCACACTTAATATGTTGTGTGTGTATGGATATATATGTGTGTGTGTGTGTGTGTGTGTGTATGTATATTATTATTATTGTTGTGTGTAAAATAAAATAAAAGTTGTAGTGAATGTATATTTTAAATTTACATTTAATTTATTTACACAGATTATTTATATTGTATACATATATAATTCATTTGTACAAAATAGAAATGAATATATAAACTATTTTATATGTAAATTAATATATACTTTTGTGTAAGTATGTTTTTCATTTATGTACCTCCTTTTATAATTGCAAATTATATAATTTAATCATTAATAATTACATTTTATATACACACGCATGTGTGTGTGTATAAGTTAAAAATATGTAAATACATTTATTTACATATTTAAATTGATATTTATACAAATATTTAAATAATATACTTTTAATTTATATATTTAACATTTTTAATGTTTATTAAAAATTAAACCCATTTTGTTATTAAACCCATTTTAACGGCGTCAATTTTTTTATCGCGCGATTAACGGCCTTTTTGGCCTAGCAAACTTTGTAGTTTTCTTTAACATGCTTTTGCAACAGGACGCGGCATGCGCGGCGCTGCGCTATGAAACCCATTCATTTCGATGGCTTGCGGCGCTCAAGGACGTTTTGTTGCTTCATCGACCAAAGCGAAAACGGATCTAGACGGTAAACAAAACAACAAGCACGCCGCACACACTCGTTTGGGCTTGCGAGCCAGCCAAATAGTTGGTTAACGTTACCTTTTGGATGACGAGCGTGAGACGCCGAAATGGATGCCAATAAGATTCTGAATGGAAAGTTTACTTTTAAAAAGTTGCGAAATGGTTCCATTGACGAGACCAAAGTGATCTGTGTGTTTTGTCGTTGTGAACTGAGCGATCGTCGCTGCACGTCCTGTCTGAAATATCGCACACAAACACACACAGCTGATGCGAATTCTCCGCCCCATCGCCAATATCAGGACCTCGTCAGTATTTCTTTCACCCTTTTATTGATGGACAGTGTTACATTGTGTGAGAGATTATTTGCTCCAAGTGAGAATTATAGTGTGAATTTGAACACAGTGTATATCAATGTTGTTTTCAATAAAAAAACATTTGCACAAAGCAAGCCGATACACTTTCCATGTTGATGAGAAAAAAATAATGGGACAAAAAGAAATCAAGAGACATTTAGAATAGATAAAAATGTGCGATTAATCGCGAGTTAACTATGACATTAATGCGATTAATCGCGATTAATTATTTTAATCGTTTGACAGCACTAACACACATATATATATATATATATATATATACACTTTTTAGTATATAAAAAAGCCTTGATACAATTTTAAACAGATTTTTAACATGATCAGAGCTTTTTTATGTCTTAATGGATGTGTAGATCAGTGTGTAACTTCTTACCCTTTCTGTGCTTTAGGCGCTCAGGACTGCCGCGTTGGATTTTAGCCGCGTGCCTCTTCCTGTCCATCATGGTGATGCTGTGGCTGAGCTGTGCCAGTCTTGTCACGGCACCCGAGCAGCACATCAAGACTCAGGTACCTGTTCATTCATCACAAACACACTACCAGTGAAATTCAAGGCAGTCGATGTGAGAGCACTTCTTTAAATAGAAAAGTTGAAGCAAACAGTGAAAGAAAAGCAGCCACCAAGTATCCAGCACACGTGGGAATACTACTATAAAGTACTTTAATAAAGGTTTTGAATACAAAACATGTCAATAATCAATGTTATACTTCCAGCTTAGCATCAATGGAGATAAAGAGTTCATGGATGACACCCAGAAGGTGAACCCCTACCACTTGACGCCAGTGATCGCGATGACAATCGGCCAATCGGAGGAGATCAAGGAGGCGGGGCCGCTCCCGGTCAAGGTCGACCTCAGCAAAACATCTCTTTAAAAGCACAGAAGAGGTCGATACTTTGAAGACTAGGGTTTAACTCATCTCCAGAGCTATTTCTCGCAATTTAAGGGAAAGTTGCGTTGTTTTTCTAAATAAACTAAAAAAATGCATGACGCCATTTATTATATCGTCCTGTCTGAATACTAGTCTCCACTGAATTCTCAAAACCTCATGGAATCGTAGTATAGGTGCTTGTTCACATAATGTACTAACGCATTGTTGACTAATATATACATACACTAGTAATGTTTGAGCTCACGAACAACTTCGCAGTTGTGATCCGTTCTTATGGAATTCTTGAAAAACGCACTGTATAAACACGGGGGGCTCGGATGCTGGATTATGCCACAGGGTTATTTGTCAAGCTTTGGCCAGCGTTTAGCTTCTCCGATGATGAACATTTAGTTTAGCGATGAATACTTTCAGTCCCTGTTATTAATTAGCGCAGCATTTCAACTGGAAGAGAAGGTGATCCGTTGGAGAGTCGCACTCATGTGAAACGAGCAAAAGAAAAATCAAATGCAGCCAATTAGCGAATGATCTGGTTTCGTAACTATGTTTACAAAACATGAATGCGTCCTTTGAACTAATATGTAATCAAACTGACAAGGACTCTTAATTACTTTACAGATTGTGAATGCCTGTAATTTGGAGAGTTGATTTAGGATTTTGTTAAATTGTACAGGTAAATAAAAAACCAGGATATTTTGTACGCAGGCAGGTATTTTCATTTGCATAGTTCTGCATCCATACTAAGCCTGACTAAACTACTCGCGTTCACGTCCTAAAAGCATGATGTGTATTTATTTATTTATGTATTTATTCAAAGCTAAAAGCAACAGCATATAACGCCTGTAGTTTTTCATGGATTTTATGATGCTTAGTTGTAAATTCATTCCCAATGTAAACTGTTGTAGAGAGGAAAACGCTTGCTGTTCAGACCGAATGTGAAATGTTGTATTATTCCAATGTCTTTCCCCTGGCCTATTGGGAAAACCGGTTGGGGGCGGGGTTTTGAATGAATAACACCAGGCTTTGACAAATATCTTTTGTAAACTAGGCTGTAGAATTGAGTTTTCATGGCACTATTTGTCTTGTGCTGCTATTTTTCCCCATTTAAGCCCAGCCACAGTGCATGCTAGTACGCTATGAGACATTGAATATATCGTCCCATCTATTTTGGAAACAAACTGCTGTATGCTTGTGATCTTTGTGTTTTTGCTTAATGTTCAGTAGGCATTGTAATTATGACCATAGATTACGAAGTCAAGAGGTGCGATACCTTAATAAGCCATTCAATATCTGCTGGTTCATCATTCAGTAATATCTTGAAGTCAGTAATATCTTTTTCTCTCTTTTGAACAGTTTCCCATACGATACGCCATAATATTGAACAAATAAAGTGTTTTCATGTTGTAATTAATCTGGTGTGGGTCAAGATCCATCTCAAATAAATTAACAATATTAAAATAACTTCGACCAAAGCTAAAGTTTAATGAAATGTTTCATCATAGGTATTAGATACTGTAAAAAAATGTAGTAATGTACCTATATGACACTATCGTGACTGTTCTTTTTATGGATTTTGTTGTGGAAATATAGTACTATATGCATGTCATTATAGGCCAGGTAATATTTGATAACGTAAGAAAAAGTGTTTGACTTCCCAAACCACTGCAACCAGATACATTGTAATTGTAATTATGCATCATACACCACACGGGGGCGCTAGAGAGCTGTAGGCTACTTAAAAACGAATGGCTGTGGATTATAACTGGCATTACATGGAGCAAAAGTGTACATTCCCCCACTACGCACACTAGATAGCGCACTTTCACATAGAGATTAGTGTAGACGCCTGGGGGTTCCTTTTTTACATGCTCACTGATGTATTTTAAATTAATCACTAGTTGTATTCCCTCAATTTCACCCCAGCATAATGTATATAGCATCAAACCCCATTTATGACACATTACGACTCTGCTTCTCAGAGGTTTGACTTTTTCAGCTTAAAACGCTACTTCATCTCTTACCTTTTGCGAGTATTTTTTAAAAGCAAACCACCTGTGCTGTGAAGCAGGTGCAAACCTGTGAAGGTCAGCGAGATGTCCAGCAGGCTGTTCTTCAAAAATAACTTCCTTCAGATTTAACACTTCATGTGCCCATCGGCTGTGATAAAACGTTTCCCACCTGGTGCTATGGATCCTCATCCATGATGATGAAATACAACAGATATGAGAAAGTGCATTATATGGTAAGAGAGATATAACGCGGAGAGATTACCGTCGATGTTTATTTTTGCGTTAATGACCAGCTGACTGCACTTTATCCCATTTCTTGCACGGCTACTGACATTATAATAATTAAATACTCTAATATTACATGTTGAATTGAATTTACATATTATAATCTTACCTCCACAAAGAGAAAAAACTATTAGGATGTAGGCGAGGCGAGATAATCGTGCGAGTTGACAGCGCCGACTTTGCGCTGATATACTGTATGTCGTAATGGGCGAACATTTTGAGTGCCCAATCAGAAACAAGAATTTTATTTTTTGTTTAGAACATGGAAATGAGCTGGTGGAAAAAGTTGAATACCTAAATAAGTCAATGCATGGTCTTTTCCTTTCTGTTGAGTACATATTTAAAGGGAAAGTTCACCCAAAAAAATGAAACTTGTGTCGTTACCATGCATGTAGTCACCCTAATGTCGAATTGATATTAAGTGTAGGCTAGCTCCTTTCCAAATTGATTCAACTTATTTTTTTCAAAAAAGTAATCGTGTTGAACAGCCGATTGTGTGGTGAGAAACTACATTACCGATGATGCTGTACAAAAATACCACCAATCAAAGTCGAAAAAAGTTAAATGCCAAAAGAGCCTTTTAGCTCCGCCCACTCCCATGAAACACCGCAAATGGTGTAATCGAGTCGATCTCTCTACGGTCTCAAAATACTTAAATATCTGTATATAGCCTACCTACATATTACCATGTATTTGTGTGTGTATATTTCTCCATCGTTTTTAATTCGATTATGCAGTTCGCAATGCTTCATGGGATTGCCATTCTTGCCCTCACTTAAAGGTGCTCTAAGTGATGTCGGGTGACGCGACTTCTTGTTGACGTTTAAAGTATTTTCAAACAAAACGGAGGCTAGATAGACCCTCCCTCCTCCTCATCCGCGCACTGACCCCCCCAAACCCCACCCCCAGGGCCTTCTTGTCAGTTATTGGCTGGAACAGTTTGTTAAGTTTCGTGGAGCAGGTTGCCGCAGTTTGTTTTTGTTGCCATTTGTGGAGCCTGGGTTGTCTGCATAGACCGCGTTTTTTTACAGTGTGTTTAGGGGACAGGCAGCTAGCGGATAGTGAGGAGATGGTTGCTGTATGTGGCAAAAAATGTTTTGGCCGAAAAAAACGTGTCACGTCGCTTAGAGCACCTTTAAGTCATTAAATACACAGCACTTAATACTTTTTTGCGTCAAATCAAAGTTTGTAATTTTATGATTCACCTCGTAGCTGGTTGGCTTGGTTCATGGCCTATAATGGTTTAAAGGGATACTCCACTTTTTTTGGAAATAGGCTCATTTTACAACTCCCCCAGAGTTAAACAGTTGAGTTTTACCGTTTTTGAATCAATTCAGTCGATTTTCTGATATTTAGAAGAATATTAGTAACCAGACAGTTTCTGGTCTCATTGACTTCCATAATATATTTTTTTTCCTACTATGGAAGTCAATGAGACCAGAAACTGTCTGGTTACTGATATTCTTCTAAATATCCAAAAATCGGCTGAATTGATTCGAAAACGGTAAGACCCAAATGGGGGAGTGGTAAAAATGAGCCAATTTCCAAAAAAAGTGGAGTATCCCTTCAGCAAGGACTTTCTTATAATCCTTATATTATAAGGATTATTATAATCTTATATTTCTTATAAATTAATGGAAAAAATACTTCCGGAACCAACGTCGCTGAAAACAGGCACTGTTGCACTCTATATCGTTCATCTGTGCCATTATATCTTTTCTTTTAAATTTAGAAAGATTTTGAAAACTATTGTTATTGTCTTGGGTGTGAATGGGCCTTTAAAGATGACAAAATTCTCTATTTTATTCACATATTAATCTTAAGACTCTCTTCTTCCCTCAGTCTTGCTCTTTTACTCATTATCTGGTCCATCTAGTCACCTCAGTTTAGTATTAACCTGACAGGTAGCAGATGATGTTATCAGATAGACCATTGTGCGGCTGTGCAAACATTAACATAGTCGACGGGACTGCGATGCCACACAATAGGCTTGCTAGGGGACTACAGAAACCCAACTAAAGATAGATTTGTTTGTGTATGACTCACACGGTCAGTTCCCGAAGCATCTGACTAACGCACAAAGCTTATAACAACCCTACATGAACCCTGTTCTGCTCTGTTTGTCCCCCTACGCACAGACCGAGCCCTATCCCACAGTGCATTGCGCTTGATGAAGACCATGGGTTCTGAATAACAGTGGCTCACCACACCTGGGTATCTGATGAGAATGAATATGAAAATTTTTACAGTGGGAGGGAATATGGGGGTCCGTAATCCCAGTGTGGCAGAAATAAAAGGATGGTTCAGCCAAAATGAAAATACTGGCATTTACTCGCCCTCATGTTGTTCCAAACCTGTATGAAGAAACCCACCATTTTTTTTTTTTTAGAAGCACAGTTGTTTGTTCATACGGATATCGTCGTATTACTTTCATTCCATGTCATTGATTCTTATCACTAACCTGTAAGTGACGCCGGTATGACGTGCTTACCCGTAATACCTCAAAATAAGTATAGTGTGACTAACAAGTCAATCAAGTCATGTGTCACAGTTCAAAGCTGTGCCTGCACTTCAGATGTGTGGTCACAGGGGGCGCAGTGGAGCTGAGCTGAAGTTCTGAGGTGTGGAGAGAGACCGAGAGACTGTCTTTGGGCTAGAACTCCGCTTCAACCATATACGACTTCCTTATCAGTCCCAGCCTGCTGGTAAAGTCAGCCCGCAGTGCATTGAAGAGCCAAAGCCGCTGCACACACACGGGGCCCTGTGAAAATAGCCATGCCTGTAGAAATGAACAGAATAATGAAAGAGAGAAAAACAGAGAGAGAAACTAAGTGGTATGAATGTGATATCGCCTATTTTCCATAATCATCTCATGTATGCATAAGTAGGTGCTCTCTGGATGTTTTACAAATGTGGTCATTTATGGGCAACCAAATATGCATAAGGTATGGCGTTGAAATATTTGTGTATTTGTTTGCTCTCGCTTTTAGGTAATGTATACTGTGTAGGTAGCATAGCAATAATAAACAATAAGATTCAGTCATAAAAAATATATATGAGAATTGCCAGCCCTCATTTGACACTATTTAATGTATATCTGTTGGCTTAGACAGCCGAAATACGGAAAAATACAAATAGTCATGTGTCAAAACACATGGGAATTTTTACATCAAAATGTCTGGATGGACATTTGGAGTGTAATAGTCACTCCACTTCTATGAATTAAAACATAAACATTGTCTTTAATGAAATTGTCTCCTTTTGGCAAGGGGGAAATATTTTCAAGCTTAAGTAAGCTATATTTTATTGAATCAATCAATATCAATAAAATATATATTGTATGAATTTGACAGTTAATGGATGCACAAATCTGGTGATTTTTAAAATAAACTAAAACAAAGTACATCCAATATCACCCTTTCAATGTCATAAATATGTATAATATACATAATTCATGAGTTTAACGGCGCGTGACGTCACAAAGGAGTTGCATGAGTAATGCTTGACGCCTGTCAATCAAATTAACCAAGTGAATCGGATCCTGAGGAAGGCAATTAACCGTAATGTTTGCTTTTATACACCTGACAACGGTGCGGTAAAGACAAATAAACGTTTAAAAGCCCTGAGAGCAGACCGACTTGAAGAGAAACTTTAAGATGTAACAGTTAACGTTAACTTAAAGAACGCGAAGAATGTTTTGATTTCCGTAACGAAACAAATGCGCGCGCAACGCCTGTTTCTTTCACTCTCAAGCGTACGTTCATGGTAGAACCATTAAACAAAATGAATATGTCTCCTGGAGATGGACAGCTTATCATACATCTTACACCCAGAGTTCAGCTCCGAGATACCCAACACGCCGCTCACCAAACTCAACGCGCGGGCACGAGCGGACGGTTTCAAGCTCCCCTCTCTGTGAATTGATTCTACTATGAGCCTACCCGAATCGGAGCGAGAAAAGGCTAAGGTAAACACACACAAATATAAACTTTTAATCGTTAAAACATCATCCTTATAGTTCCTCTAATCAATCAGATATGTGTTTAAAAACGTATTTTATGCGTATTTTGTTTCAGAAAACAAATCCTGACGTAATTAACGCTGTTTTGCCCTCCGC